TATTTAGTTGGGTTATACCAAATACCAAATTTTCAGTTGATATATGCATCTAAAATAATTTTAAAAAATCATTATGTTATTGTGTTAAGTTGTTGGCAGTTCCAGCGCAGATCTGTTTGAGTTTGTTGTTAACTCTATCCTCACATCACCAAAAACTGCCAATTATACAATTTTGAAACAATGTATCGCCAAAATATTTTTTAGAAGTGTTTCTCTCCAGCTATGTTCCGAATTGATAAGAAATATTTATCTTTCAAATGTCCCAATGTTCCATAACGAATTAATGATGCAAAAGCAAAAATAAAAACAGACTAACACAGACCTAACTAGAATGTTGGTATTATGCTCTCTCTCACCAGGGCATGGAGATTAATCCGCGTATCTGCCTTTTCTTGGTTACTCCTCCTCCTATTCTCGGTAGACACTTTATATTCAGTTATGTCAGATGATTCACCACGTGTTAGTACTCAGTAGTGTTGTCCAATATTTCCCTGGTTGATCTGTCTAAGAGTGGTCCAAGCAAACTATATCGGGTTAAAGACAAATAAAACAGACCTTCAAGACCCTGGCATTCTCAAGCTGTATCACAAGACTTCCTTCTTTATGTTGCTGGTTACGTTTGTGAATAAAAATGCTAGCCTCTTAACAATGACCGTTCTCGGTATCACTCGGTACACAACTCAACTTTATTTCAAAATGGTCTATACTATTGGTCGATAAAGTCATACCAGCAGTTAAGGTTGAACCCAGAGGGAAATTTTGACAAGAGGTGATCCTATAGCTACATTTTAATGATATGCATATTACAATAATCTTTTTGTATAACTTTAGAAACATGAGTCTTGAACCTTAATTTATTATCAAAAATGACACCCCGGTTGTGGCATTCGGAAACAACAGACAACAACATCAATCAATCAATCTGATTGTTTTGAGTTTAAATCCATAACAAAAGAGTTTCGCACAGAAAAGTGAGTCAAAAGCCTTACTATAGTTCAGTAATAATAAAACTGTCGATTCTCCTTTATCGGCAACTAGTAGAACATCATCGAGAACTTTTAACAGTGAATTCAACCTGAAAGTTTCTATTTGAAATTACCAAAGGTTGACAAACCCTACTGTTGGATTTATAAAATGTAACTATATTTTTGCATCTTCATGACATTAGATTTTGACTAGCCCGTTTTTATTTCATTGTTTTAATGCTACGAACTAGAATATTGCCTATCACTAGCACTAATGTCTTGACTTGTCTTGTCTTGTCAAAATATCATTTATTGCCTAAAGTTGCATGAGTTCTGATGTTATACTTCGTGTCAATTACATTACAAAGTGTTGAATGTACTGCCTACATTCTGGAAAAAGTTATATGAGTTTATAATATGGTAAGACCACTCTATAATGCAAGTTATGTGGACAGCTTGTACATATTTTATGTCTACTTAAGAACCGATATGAAAAGTAGGCAATATTTATGAGTAGGAAAGAAATATTGTTAATAGCTAGAAACCTACCTTGGCTGGCCCTCAGAGAACCTCGATATTCAGAGAAAATAAAAACTACAAGCAAGTTTTCCGCACACCCTGTACATGTCAACAAACTCGATAGAACGCCGGCGATCAAAGTATTTATTATTTATTAATAAGCCGACTGGCGAGTTCTTTTTTTTTTTTCACGTCCCAACGAGCAAATAGATTAAGAAATTCGGACGATGCAGATGCGAAGAATAGATTACAAGCAGGCGTTTGGTACCCGAAAAAAAAACACCTTTCACTCAAGCGCCTACATTCTGTTTAACCGCGGTCGTTTTTTGTTCGAGCCCGTAAGAGGTTTTTTTTCTTATAGGAAGACCCGTGACTCGTCTTTACGAGCTGAGAAAGCCGCGAGGGCATTTAACCTATTGTCAACATAAATTCTACCGTTCAACATAACCTAACACAACCTTTAGACACAAAATTATAGTAAACCATTTATAAAGCTAATCGGGAACGCTGTCTGAGTCAGTTATGACCTTTTCGAAAGCACTGGGACTTTTAAAAATGCGAAAATTCGTTTGCAACTCATAAAAACCATTTATAATTTATAAAATCATAGCTTGGTTATTAAAATCTTCATACAATAATAACTTTTATATAAAGAATTAATTATTTATACAAATAACCTTTTCTGAACTGATAAAAAATAAAAACATATTGACAAAGCACAACACGCAATCCAAAATCGCTTTTCGAATTTAAGAAAAAAAGCTATTTGGTCCCGTTTGTCCAAAACCATTGTGCACTTGGTGCCCATTCCCCACCACTGTTTGCCACGTTTGTATAAACGGTTTTAGGAAAGTTGGCAAACACAGACAAATTGAAATTGAATTTTAACAATATTTTACTGTTACCGTTTTGAAAAAAATATTATAAACGGTTTGTGTGGTGGTATAAGTGGTTTATTCGGCCTTAATGGACCAGTTAAGTAACACGCGTGTCCCGGAGAAGAGCGATTCGAAGAACGAAAAAACATCTTGCCGGGCAGCACTTCTTCCTCGCCTTCCTATGACACTGATAAGACTGGTCGTACCGTTGCCCCGGATTAGAAAAATCTACCGTATGTTGCAGCGACGCGGTGCAGTATCGTGGTTTTTTGTCATCGTGCCGCCACCGGTCGTGATAAATGGACTAGTTTGAGAGCATCTAATGAACGCATTATTAGAATAATAGGAATGTTTGAAATGTAATGGTTTTCCAATCATATTTGTTCCTATTTGGGACACATGCGTTCGGATTGGATTGCCGCATTGCCGTTGCGTGTTTCGGCAATCTAGTCGATATCAGACTGTGCTTTTATGTTCGTATCATATTATAAACGGTTATATAAGTGGTTGCCATCAAAATTTTATATTTTTATGAATCCGGACGGTTCTGAACACGTCATGACCGACTCAAACGAAGTTCTAGATGAGTTGTATAAATGGTTTTCGGGAATTATCCACATAAACGGCCTGTTTTGATTGAATTATTTCCAATAAAAACAATTTTTAGCGAAATTTGTTGCATACCGAAGCGAATGGATCATAAAGGTACCAAGACGCAATGCCATTTTCCAAATTTGGCTTCACTGATGCTGGTGTTTACTTATAACAATGGGGCGATAGTATCCGAATTATAGTCTGTCTCAGTCTTCATCGTGTGGGCTTCCGGCGGACCCTGCTCATTAAAACTTTAACGATGTTATTATGCCATGACCAGAACTATTGTCATGTGTTGTGATTAACTTTGCCTATTGTTTATTACTCCAAAAACGCAGTTCCTTAGAAAACACCCTGGCGAGCAGCACAAAGTAACAATTTATTACGTTATTTCATTACATTTCTACATAGTATCATTATTAATATACAAAATGTTAAATATGATAATGATAAAGTATCAGACACTTAAAAGATAGTCACTATCGCGGCTGTCGTCACCTAGTTGTTATGATTACACGTTTTTCACAGTTAGACCAGCTTTGTACTGATATTTTAGGTAACTCTTGCAGAATTACGTTTATGGCACTGTCACTGAATTTGGGTGCAAGATTTCATATCTTAAAAAAGACAAATCGAAAAACTATTTACAAGACGCGGAAATACAAGAAGAAGAATGCTGTTAATCGACAGGCACAACTTACCTGTAAGATAAATAAAGTACCTATTGTTATTGAGTAAAACCATTAACAAAAAACTTATTCTTCCTTCAGTGACAAGGCAGGGGTGGGCCAGGAATATATCTTTCTTTCTCATATATTTCTCGAGTGTTGACCATTTGTGGCAGTGTTGAATAATCATTTTTACTGTGAGTTCCGAAAAAGTTATTTTACGTAAATATAAGAACGTCGCGTCGAAGTCATTTGTCGCTTGATGCAAAACAGGTTGTGAAAAATGTGTATGAAACTTTTATCAGTAGAACCCTTAAGAGATATTATTAATAGTGGGGATTGAAGAAAAGGAACCAACGTAGTTATTTTCAACCATCGCATGTTAAACCCCATAGAGCATTTGTGGATCCAAGTAAAATCAAAGATCAGCGCAGAAAATGTTACTTATACTTCAAGTCCCAGTGTTATAAATTTCATAAAAAAAGTACCAATTGAGAGTTGGAAAAATTCAATATAGCGCATTATAAAAATTGAGAACTCTTACATTTCTATAAAAAACACCTTTAATACCTATCGGATCCGAGTTTTGTTGCCGTCGACAGGTAACTTCCATAATTGCGTCCAAAAGCCAGCACGATGCAGATTGAGACAGTCTATACCAACCGCGTTGTCTAGTTTTGGATTTCTATGGTTTCAGGTGGTTCATGAAAGACGTAATTAAATGGTTATTATAAGTGTTGGCAACGAATTTTCGTATAAAAGTTGTGTGAAGATTGCTATAAATGGTTTTTTAGAAGAAGTTTTATAAGAAGAAACTTCCACGGGAAAGGAAATTTGTATATAGTAAATTTACGAGCATTGGAGATAATCAAGCGGACATCTCGGCGTCTACGCTGGTTATTCGATTTCGGTACGCGTTCTGCATCGATAAATATATCAATTTGGCGTTTAGAGACCGGCGTGGTACGACCCATATAAATTACGTGCGAGAAAAATGCTGCTGGTCGAGTATGTACTACAATTTTTACCGTTGCCTTAACGTTAATCCTTATACGGTGTGGTTGTAGGCCTGTTTGACTGACATATTAGACGGTACTCCGCAAATATGATGTTAATTGCCAACGCAAACGGCTTATTAATGTGACCGCTGCCGCGCGGTACCCGAAACTGCGAATTGCGGTACTTTGATTTCGGCCGGTACACCCCTGGGAACACGAATGGAGCGGACGATGTGTACTCGAAGGTTTAAATTAAAAAAAACGGTACCACTTGTAAGCGAGGGTACTACCCCAGCGACTTACCAATTATACAAAGGATGAGCGTCGATTTTTAGCTAATAAAAATATAGTACCTTTCCGCGGACTGGTACCACTTACCTGCAGAAAAAATATTCCAAGGAGGCGGTGGTCACGGGGTATTAGAAACCAAGAGTACTCCTTCGATCGAGATTCCCGAATATCCCATAAACGAAAAAAAATACACCGTCGGTACCAGGCGCGTTCGCGGCGATTTTCACCCGTTCACCCGGACGAGAAAAAAAACACCGCACCAAAAGCCCTCTCGATGTGAAAAAAAAAAGATGTAGCTCGGACAACCACCGCGGCCGGTGATGGGCAATTTAAGAATGGAAATCACCTGCAAGAAGAACAAGAAGAAAAGAACCTGTGCGAAAACCGGCGTGCCGCCGAGACCGTGTGACGTATAGTAGGACGCGGCGTTGCCGCGTCGCTCCGACTTTCCCCGCACGTGGGGAGTTCCGGGTTACATGGCGACCGGAAAACGTGGCACGAGTCGTTGGGTGTTGCCAGCTCCGGGTTAAGTTTTAGTAAAACTTAAGCCACCGGAAGACGATTTGAAGTATATGAGGGCGAGGTGGTCTGGTCGACGTGGCAACGCGGCGGGCGATTTCGGAAAGAAAATCATCAGTGAGAGAGTCGATTCACCAAAGTAATACGCCGACGAGGTTGTTCATACTGACCCAGACAAGCGATCGGGCCTACTATGTCTTGTGGGTCTAATTGTGGTGCCATTTCGAATCGTATTCCAGACGTTTCGGACATTTAAAAATGCCGTCCTTTGGAGTTGACCAGATTTCGACGAAGGAGGTGAGGTTATTCGTCCTGGTGGAGGTCTTTGTAGGTTCCAAAGCCTGAGGAAGAAGTCGAGTGGAGGTGGGCGCATAGTAGGCCCGATAAAGTACAGTTATATCATCCTTGCTCATCATATGGAGCTATTTTGCGCCAAAAAGTAGGTAAATAATGCGAAACATCTCCGCACCTGCGGTGGAAAAAGCGGCAGCCTTGAAGGACTCGATTCGACTCTCTTTTGTTTGACATTTTTGACTTTTCGACAGACGAAAGATCAATTAGAGATTCGGTAGGACTGAAGCACTTATTTATCTTTAAAAATGTGAGAAACTTAAGGGTCTGATTGCTTATTAAAAAAAAAAAGGATACATACTCTATTGGGTCCAAAGTTAATCATTAGAGAGGCATGGCGTTTTAAGTATGGGAGAAATAATAGAAATAGAACAATAAAATTTTTAGGAAGATCACTATTACCCCTATCATTCTTCCTAACTAAATTTAAAGACTAACTTTCGCAACGATTTGGGAAAAATAAATTTTAATAAAATTTTAATAAAAGTTAAGAAAAACGTGCAGAAAGCAAAAGAAATGGAAACACTTCCATAACTTTTTATGTTTCTATCTCCTTTGTTATATTTGGAACGTGATATTTTCATAATGCTTTCCTTTTGGCCCAAGATATATATAATGAGCCACCCATCTTGTACTTGTAAGTATAAAAAAAAGTTCCATTTACAATTTTTCCCATAATCAAGTGACCCGGTAAATAGTATTTATGATGGTCACAGCCTCCTGGATACAATTTTCAAAAATTAAATAAAAATTAAGAAAAAATCCAAACAAATATAATTTGTGCCATTTAAAATTCGTTTTCGCTCAAACCGGAAGTGCTGACTACATATTGTCAAAAAATTGCCTATATTTGATTTAAATTGTATTTATTTTTCTCAATTGTTTTCGAGAAAGCGTCTGCAGAAGAAAGTATGGCGACACTGCGAGGGGTAATAATTGTTTGACGAGTGACATTGTTTTTCTTGCGAACTGGTGCGAAATACGCATGGGCCAGTTCTAGTTCCGCCACGACTCATTACGATTCGCTATATCTCCCCCACGAATCGTATAATTAACGCGATAAACATTGTCCCGATTTGTTACAAGCAGATATCCGACGACGCAATAACAATCGATTTAATTGTTTAAGTCACGAGAGTTCGCCGCTTGCTGATACAGTACGGTCTTAATTATCCCTATTATTAACATATTTTTAAAACAGTCGTTGTAAAATAATGTGGATTAAGCAGAATTCACATTTAACAGGATAGTAATGTGAACATAAGGCCACTGAGATACAATGCAATAGCTCTTTATGATGAACTATATTTACTTGACCCAACAGCCATGTTTGTTTACTCTTTTGTTTGGGCGTACCTTAACTAGTTTGTGCTTTTTTGCGTGCAAATTCCTTATTTTTGTTTAGTTGTTTACTATCCGTAATGGTGGTCTAAACATTGATGGTTATAGCATTGTTAGGCGTGGCGAAGGGGTAGCATCGCAGTCATTGTAGATAGTTAGAGCTATAGATATATTGGAATATATTAACAATGATAGCCCAGAACAAATATGTTTATAGTTTATAGACCTCCAACTTTTAACTTACTTGAATGCCTTGACTCTCTGGAAAACTTAATTACCGCAGTTATTCAATTTGATTTTTTTGTTGTTTGGCGGAGGTTTCAATGTTGATCTGTTAAAAACTAATACTCCCCCTTATTTTCGATTTTCAATTACTCTCGCCAACTTTGGTATGCATCAACTAGTTACAGAATCCACTCGAGTTACTGGTAACTCTAGTTCTCTTCTCGATGTACTGGTCACCTCTAATTTATCCATTGAACTGAGGTGGCTTTTACTTAATGAAAATCCATTTATCAAAATAAATAAGAACCAAAAGTTCAGATTTTCACGAAATTATATATTACGACATGACAATTGTTTCGACAACATCGTGTCTTTATCAAATGTAATACAATACAAACTACCTGCTACTATATATACCGAAAAATGACTATAAAACCTTAATTAATGTTGTTGCGAAATTTCAGTTCAATAAAGGAGAGGTATTTAAATCTAATTGATCGTTAAGCAATACATTTGAATGTCTCATTTTGTTAATCTCCATGGCTTCCAATAAATTTAATTTTCTACTTTTTGTGGCTGTATGTAATATATCGAAATTGTCGTCAAAAATGTGTTTTTCAGTGTTTAAGTGTGTAGCATAATTAGAATCTAGACTATTGTTTTTAAACACTCTTATATGTTCGTTAATGCGTTTCTTGAAGGATCTACCTGTTTGTCCAATATAAATTTTAGGACAAAATCCACATTTCAACCTGTAGACACCTGATTTTTGGGTTTTGGATATTTCGATTTATTGTTTTTTAAATATTGTCCTATTGTGTTGTTAGTTCTGAAAGCTATTTTTAAACCACATTTTGACAAATGTTTTGAAACTTTTTCACTAGGTTCTCCTATCTATGTAATTGTTTTAAATTGTTCGTGTTCTGTATTTGGTTTCGGATAAGTAGAGTTTACTGTTGTCTGTATTTGTTTTTTATTTATAATTTTATCTGTAATGGACGGATTGTAGCCGTTGTTTTCTTTCATTTTTAATTTTCTGTTGAGAGTGGCGTATTAAGAAGTTTGTGTATAAAACATTTAAATGCAGCCATTTTGTGTGTATAAGGGTGATTTGAGCTGTTATGTATGACTGTGTCCGTGTGTCAAGGTTTATGACATATTGAAAAATCGAATTTGTTTTGCACTTTCGTAATAGTTAAGTCTAAAAAATTAATAGAGTTATCCTGTTCAATCTCGATAGTGAATTTTATACGATTATGTATTGAGTTAATGTAATTTAAAAAATAATTCAATTATCTGTCAGTTCCAACAAAGCAAGCAAAGACATCGTCCACATATCTATACCACCATAAAAAACTTTTACTTAGAGGATGTTCTAGTATGATATTTTCCAAATTATCCCCACTTATTCCCATAATCAAACCTTCTTTAGAGATATAAATCTGTCCATTAAGTTCAAAATAATTTTGGTCTAAAGATACTATTAAGCAATCTAATAAATCCTGTTTCACCAATGGGTTAACCTGTTTCCGAGTTAGGGTAAAATCTACTAAATCTATCACCACCTATGGATGCGGACTATGGACTATATTTATTATTTAGATAATCGGTAACCGGTTGGGCATTACGTGGAGGTGCGCCATCTTGATGTAATTCCTAACTGACACATTTGCTAACAACTGTTCCATTTCTGTTGCCATTCAAGGATCCTTCGTATATAATTGTTACCACCACCATATTGTTCAACATACCACACCATACAGATGTCCATCCTTGGATTTTCACTGCCTGCATTTTTTGTGGATTATTGGGGGTCCAAAAATGTTTATTCTTCCTATTTAATACACCTGCTGTTGTGAACGAAGCCTCATCCGTAAATATTATTTTATTTTCTTTCTTCAATACATTTCACTGCAAAATTCAAGCTTCTGCTTTTTATCTTCGTCGGTTAAATTTTGTATTGGAAGGAACTTATACGGGTGAATCTTATGATACTTTAGCCTTCCATGAATTTTACTATAGGACTTTCCGGATGTTTTTTTAACGTCAGGTATAGAATATTCAGGATTTTCTAAAAAATATGAAATATCAAAATTAAAAAAGGAGAACTCAAAGTGGTGATGTCAAATGTAACAGTTTAATAATTGACCTTGAAAGTATATTGGGGTCTTTATCAAAATTTCTTTCTATTGTCCTGGTCAAATTGTTTAATTACATTTTTAATGGTATTTATTGGAGGAACTCTTCTACCCCCCCGGAAATATGTAGTTGTCGATATTCTCTGTTAACATTACGTCCGGTTGAATAATGTAATTTTATTATATGGCGTTTGAAATAGCTTTATTTATATTTATTTAACTTACATTGGAGATCTTTAGTTTTGATTAGTTGGCTACTGTCCGGAAATCGAATGATAATTATTTTTAAACTGAAATCTAGCAAAAGCGTATGAGTTTATGATGTGCGTCTACTCCTTGTATTTGCGATGTATATACGGCTGTGTATTTTGTTGACAATTATGGTGTTGGTGCTGTTGTGTTGGTTATTGTGGTTACATGGAAGAGCGCAATTTCCGAATGAGGCCACTTTTGTATTACAACTTATATTGTAATATTTTTATTTACAATAAAGACAATTTATTATTGTTATTATTATTACGCCGTTAATACAACTTTTTTACGATTTTTTGAGGCGTCCAAGCCCCTATCTATTAACAATAATGACGGCAATAACATTTTCAGCCTTAATAATTTTTTTTTGATTTTTTTTTAAAGCAATACAATACCTCCTAATTAAACTATCAGTCAATAATACAATTTCTTTTCAACTTTCTCGATTACGGTCTGTGTTATTTTGCCCAAAATTACAAAAGAGCTTATTAAAATTAATTGACGAAGAAAGCAATACAACAAAAAATCTGTGAAACAAATTCTCCTCATTAATATAATTAAAAAAATTAATTCTTTTATTAATTGAGGAAGAAAGCAATCCAATACGGCACAATAGCACGGCGGTATTACATTTTAATCATTACAACGCCATTAAAATTTATCACACTCCTTTTTGTGATATTGTGTACACAATTACAAAAATGATTATGAAAATTAATAGACGTAGGAAGCAGTACAATACAATAACTATTTATTACATAATTATTTATTACACCGAAGCCCCTGCCTGTAGCATTTGGCGTATAATTTAACAGTAAAAGGTTAGTTATTTTTTGTATTACATAACATTTCCATTCGGGTGAACACTGCTTTATTTTGTATATATGGCAAATTAAACAGTAAGTTAATGAAGCCGTTGTCGCATTTGTGTTTTTTTTTTACTAATTAGTTAAAATTTATTGGCTGGCGGACGAGCGGCGCTGGCTGATTGACACGAAAACACATATTTCACCAACTTGGCTATTCCCAGTCGTAAACCAGAATCGATTTGCGTTATGGCCGCCGCATATTAAACAAAAAGAACGGGCCTGAAAGAATTCCATCTATTTTTACGAGTTAACTGACCTACGAGATTGGTCGTTAAAAATAGAAACCGACACAAAATAAAAAAAATTTCGACGTCCCGGCTGAAATTGCCACGAGACTTTCACCCCGACCGATAACAGGATTCGGCCGCCCGTTTGGCAACGTTGCCGACGGTTAAAGAGCCCCGGTTTTTTGATGGACTCGAAAAAATGACCAATAGTCCCCTTTTTTTTGGTTACATTTATTGCGTTCGCCTTTCTCCGATAATTATTCCAAATTATAGCCAATTGGCCCGTCGAAAATCACGATAAAGTGCCGCGACGTTGCCGGCGCCGCACACCGGCAACGCCGCATGTTTCATTCGTCCATTATAAAATCGTACAAGTTATCGAAAACTCTAACCGCACCCGATTCCCTATAATCTACCACTTCCACAACCTGGTGGGATTCCCACGCTTGCAACGGGTTCAGCTTAATGGGGTTGCTCAAAACGCCGCAACCCACACCTAGAAGAGATTTGTACCTCAGGGTACCAAACGCGACCCCAAGAACACGCGCCTTACCCACATGGTGCAAGTATTCGTCGGGGTAATGCTGCGATTCTTCTGGGACGTCTTTGTGGGTCTCGTCCCAGGGATTGTGTACGACGAACTCCTTGGTGTCAGACGTGAGTTTCAGATCCAGGCCCGGTCTGAGGTTGCGCACCAGAATCTCCGTCGGTGCTTCTAGGAAGAGCATGCGACATTCTCCGTTGACTTTGACCTCTTCCGAAGGCCACTCGAGACATTTATCGGTTTTGTCTAGCAAGTTTTTGTACTTGCAATTGCCTAGACCTAGAACAAGCAAGCGTCTGAGTTCCATGGAGGCCTATACCATCTACCCGTACCAAAAATGTCGACGTTTCGCACGTCGACGCACCTAAACTGGGAGTGTCTGAGGATGGTGAACGTGAATGGGAAGTAAGGACACACGTTCTCCACTTTAAGGTCGTATCTGAGCATGCGTAAGGCCAAAGTCACTTTGCAGGTGAACTTAAACTTGCAGTTCCATATGGAGTTGGTGTAGCCCGTCGGTACGAGACTCAACACCACCACCACGTCCCCGTCCGGCAGCGTGGTGGGTCCCTCTTCAAGTTTCCATGGGACGGACCTGGCGAAACCGTGCTTCGGGCCTTTGGCGGAGCCCCCGACGTACGGGAAGGCGAAATTGATGCCTCCGCGGATAGGCGAGATGTCATTGAACGCCCCTTTCTGTTTCAAATAGAGCAGCTCTTTGTTGTCGATCCTCCACGACAACACGGTGCCTCCGTGAAGGTGGATAGTGCACGCGGTGTTCTTACCTCGATCTAGCACTATTATCGCGTTTGATTTGCTCATGTCGAAGTGAATACTGTCGTAATTTGACACTTGACGTCATGAACTTAGCTCGTGGTGTTAGCGACTCGGACGAGGTCGATTCCACAAATGAGGAGGCTTCTACGAGCACCTCTGATTTGCTGACGCACGCGACCTCCTCAGGCGACTTAAAAGCCTTGGGCTACCTCATAGGTAAACCGTCACCCATGGGATTAGATCGACCAGGCATGATTCCGCTTTAAGGTTTAAACGCAGAAGATGAGATGGATCAATCCAGGGATGCGACTGTTGAACACGTTGAGTCGGAATCCTTCAGAGCGGCAAAGGAGTACTTGAGGAGTCACAAAATTGCAGAGTTTTTCCAGTTCTTGGTAACCCATATGCTGAGCAAGAACGCCGACAACCCGGTGGAGTTCATGTTGAGCCTACTCAACAAATGTCTGCTGTACAGGTGATGTTGAGCTGGGAGGAAACGACAAGAAATATGCTAGAGCTGGTTTCAGATCGGGCTTAGGTGAGCCTCCGTTGTTGTACGACAAGGAGCATATAGAGCAGCTCTTTAATATGATGGATAGGTTTGGGTCCGGATACGTGGACTACCAGCAGTACAAGACCGGATTCAAGACGTTGGGGTTAACTGTCTTCAACGAAACCCCGAAGCCTTCCAGAGAAGGTAATATTAGAATCGAATAGTCCAGATACGGATGTATTTTTTGGTTAGGTCTGATCGCCAAGGAAGTGTTTATGCAAGAGCTTTACGATGCGCAGCTGAACATGGTCCGCGACTTGGTGAAGAAGAACCCAACATCGCAGTCAAAGAATGGCTGAATTGACGTCAGTCTGAGTGAATATAGGCAATATGTAAACATTTTAGGGAGTTTAGGTATTAGATATCGACGTAACATAACCTAAACATGATTTTTGCCAGAGGTTTGTCTGAGTTTCGAATTTCTATGGCGGTGGGGGGGCTCGTGGTTTTCGGATTTGTTATTCACAAACCGCAAAAGTTCGGATAAATCAGACTCGACAAAACAAAAAAAAATCGAGGCGTATCGATATCGATCCCGTTCCATTCTAATTTCGGACAACATTCTAAACTATGCATAAAATTTACATTTTTTTCACGCACCTGGCCCGTCCCATCGAAATTATTTAAATAAATCAAGATGGCCCCGTCCCGGCCGTCCAAACATCATTCAAATTAGTCACGTCGCGGTGTATATTTTTATAAAAGCGAACGGCCCGTTGACTTGGTTACATACGATTAAAAAAAAATCGGGTTATTTCCTTTTTCGATTCTATCGGATCGCGCGCAATCGCAATCTTATTGCAAACAACCGCGGATCAATGAAAATTGCTGACTCTGACGTTGGCCGCTCGCGCAACAGATGGCGCTAACTGCTTTAACCTATAAATGCATTGCGCTAGCGCATTACTTTTCGAATAAAACCTTCGCGTTGACAAGCATAATTTCTTAAAATTCATGTTTGATTAACATTTGCTAACTTTTTTTCCTGGACAAGAAGCATTAGCGTGAGTGGTTTTAAAAATGTACAGTGTGACCAGTTTTCGTTGTGATTTCGATGTATCTCAATTATTATTAGAGGGAGAAAGAGAAACAAGATCTGGTTTCGTTTTTGATATACAAAATATATATACATATACAAGGAAAAGAACATGACTATACTTTGTAGGCTATTTGAAAAATTACCAAAAATATTTTAAAGTATACTTTGCTAGTGAAGAAAATATTTGCTGTTTGCACAAATAATAGCGTTGTCGAATATTTTTTCAAATATCTTGCACCCCGTATAATTGACGAAACCTGAAACTCTCTCACGACACGATTTACGATACTGTTCAAATAAAATTATTCCACCTTTAGCGGTTTTTCATTTATCGCCAATAATTTACCCACGAAAACGTAAATTTTTTGGATATTTTAGCCTTTTGCCCATAAACGACACACCCTGTATATGATACAATCATTGTTCATTGTTGTGTAGAGGTTATAGCCCTGGATTTATTTTTGAAAAATTGTCGAAAACAAAGGTTTATATATATTTCTGCTTCTTCTGGTTCAAGGATTTTTTTGGTTTCGTAAACAGTTTTTGAAAAATGATGTTTTTTGTAGACCCTTGCACTCGCGATTTTTTATTTTTTTAGAATAATTACCGACCCCCCCTTTTTCAATAGGTTTCGCCACGGGGCAAAGCTGCATATATGTGCCAAATATAAAGTCGAATTTCGGACACTTATCGTGTTTCATAGCAAGGTCCAAAAAAATCGCGAAAAAAAGATGGATACCGGCGTCGGATCAGGGCCATTATTATCTGTCTCGTGGAGGGTTAAAAAGGAAGCAAATTACAATTTTGTAGCTCTAACGGTTCGAAAGTTATTCAGGAAAAACCAAAAGACGAGAACGAAGAACGGACAACGGAGAACGGACAACCAGACAAAAAAAATTTTTTTCGACGGTGATCATTTCGACGGCGATCAAATGGGACCTACCGTTCCCGAGATATAAAATTTTTATACGAGCTCAGATACTTTCGAAAAATTCGATTTCATCGGTTTCCGAAAGTAACAATACTCATACATACTCAACATTTTCATAGCCTACTCCAATTTATTAGTTTTAAGCTATTTATACAGTAGTCATGAAGGATCTTTTCTATTATGTAGTTAGTATTTTTTTCAAATTTGAAACGCGTATAAAAAGCGCAACCATTTTCTTTAACTACAGTGTGTTTTATTTAAAAAACATAATTTTACCTTATACTTTAAAAATTGTATCCTCTTCGTCAGTCTCTCTATCTCTAGTAGTAACTGAAATATCTCGCAACAACATCTAAAAATTGTATCCAGGATACTATTCGTCGTAGAGACTTTCGGCATAAAAATTCGGTCTCGTTATAAAAAGCATTTATTATTCATCCATTACTTTTGTGCCGTAGCTAAGAGCTAACACGATGCACGTTGAGAAAAACTACACAGTCGCGTTTTACCACCAAAAGCTTCTAACGCCGTCCGACGTTTTTTTTTTATTACGCAAGACCCAACCGCAAGCCTGATTGGTTCCGCTCTCTCCGCGGCGGGAATCAGGTTAAGGCCCTTCGGTACGGTTAACCTTTGCAACCAAGAGACTTTCCCGTGTCGAGGAGCTGTCAAAAAAAGACCCGCCCGTGTGAGACCCGCAGCGGCATCTTCTTCTCCATTGAGTCAAGGTCAATCGACATTCTTCGAAGCTGACTCCGCCGCGGGCTCGGACCACCTTACTGACCCACAATGTTCGTTTCCTGAAGATCCTGGTCGGACCTACTATCGCCCGTGCGGCCGGAAACTGCCGCCCCACTCTGATTTCATTTTTTTTTGTTTTAGTTGGTTGGCTTATTGGTTAGATTACAGTGAAATAATACACCTTTTGATGGGTCTGTCTACATAATATACAGGGTAGTTAAAAATTAATGATTCAGACGTAATATACATAAATAGACACCCTGTACGTTATTTAGAATTCTAAAATACTCATACTTAAATCTTTCATTCATTTTTTGTTGAAACTTTGTGATTTAACAATTTAATATTATATCGTTCCATTCCAAGTAGTTATTAAGTATAACATCATAAATGCAATTTTTAAGACTTTGAGATTTGCATTGAAGCACTTAAACACTCAAGCTTTTTATTACTTTTTGTGGCTTGTAACCATCAAGTCGATTAATTTTTGACTAACTTTAACTAAATTTACCACAATGTTGGCGAAGCTTCTCGCCGTCGTCCCCACTCTCCCCTATTTATGATGTTATATTTAATAATTATAATCATTTATTAAAAAGTATTTAATAATAATAAAACGTTACTATATGGAATAGCTTTTCTAGAATTTTTAAGAGGTCCATTTTACCCCTGGTTGAAAAAAAAGGACTGGTTAATTTTTGAGGTGGGCCTCCTTCCCCCATCCTCTCCTACTATTATTGACCCCCTCTCGCCCCGGTCCCATTTCAAATTAGTAAATATAACATGTCAAGATAATACGATTTTCAAAAATAATGGCGAATATCTCGAAAGCCGCAAGACTTTATGTTAATTACTGTAAATTTCAATTCTATTTTAGAATTTAAAATAACATAAAGAATGAAAAAATAAATGTTTAACCATTTTTATGTGCTACGGGAGGATCATTAATTTTCATTCATTTCACAAACAAAGCACGTAAAAAAAAAGTTAATTATTAAGCGGTGTATCTAAAGGTAATAAAACATAAAGAAACGGCAACGTTGCATCGTCCAAAATATTTTTATTCGATAAAGCAAACTCGAAAATCTCAGTACCCAAATTAACCCCCGTATATTTCAAATTGCAACTAGAAATTAAAAAATAAGGTTACAGTTCCAAAACATACCTATTATTAGATATATTATACCAGGCGGTCAATTTGGAAATTGCAAATATCAACATCTTAAATCAATCAATAAAAGTAAACGTAACCCTAATGAAAATAAAAAAAAGTTGAGCAATCAATTGTCATTATTCATTCTCGAGTTGTGGCGATCGTCCGATTTTCCGCGAAATGATGCAAAAAACACATTGTTATCTCGAGGCAAATTATTCCAGATCGGTATTAATAGCATCACCAAACAGAATTTTAAAATAAACAGCATCCCACACGAAACTGATAAAGCCGCTTCCTCTAGAAATCTAAATTTTAATTCTCGCCAAACAATCGGTATCTAAACGCGAAGCAATTAAAATGTTTCGACAAAGTCTCGTCTTGCTTCTCGTTGCGTTTGTTTTGGCTGCCGGTACGACGTACCGCAGAAAGAAGCCGGAGGACAAAACCAAATGCCCTAAAGTAAAGGCCATCCGAAATTTTAGCATAGAACAGGTAATGTTGTTGATAGAGTGTGGGGGAGGTAACATTTTTAAATATTACTTTTTTTCATTGAGATATTTCTGACTCTCCGGTCTACTCCATTAGATCGATGTGAATAATCATTTTTTCATTTTTACTCTGCGTCAGCTTCTAGGTAAATGGTACGTGATGGAGTACTACGCCAGTTCCGAAGAAGCCTTATCCTACAGGTGCATGCAGGCGGAGTTCACGATGGCCTCGCCAGAAGACATCACCATGAATTTCACATACAGTTTTACTGACGACCCACTCAACGAACAACTCTTGGGGAACATAACCTGGATAATCCCGGATCGGGGGCAACCGGCTCACTGGACACATTCTGAAGATACTTGTAAGATTTTCCAAGGTCAAGTTCTCCATCAAACGTGCAAAGTTCTTTCAGATGAGGGCGTCTACAATACGTACGTCTTGGATTCGGACTACGTCTCTTGGGCGTTGCTACTGCATTGTGCGGAAAAGTCCAAAGTGCCGAGGTATGATAAAATGAACAAGATAATATTTCAGAAACAGCCTCTGTTGCGTTGAGATAGGAGCCGTTGGCTTTTAGGGTGGCTTTGAAAATGCGAAAAATCAACCGGTTATTTTGAACATGGGAAGAAATTTCACGAAACATCGGCGAGATAAGAAGCCTATCAACTTTTGTTTGTAATACTGATTCGTTTAGGTATAGCCCCAAGTCCCCATTTTTCTAGAAATCCAGAGACTTTCCAAATCCCCCTTCTTTCACGGGCTTCTTTAGTTTTGGGAACAGGAAAAAGTCGTATGGGACCATATCCGGCGAATATGCTAGCTGAGGCATGATTGTGGTTTTGTTTTTGCCGCCATTTCAGAAGTTTGCTTCGAATTGTTTCTCGCAAAGGGCCCATAACTTTATTTAAAGCTCTTGAGCTACTACGCTACGATAATGAAAGAAAACATTTCATCAAATTTCCATTGGGACTACTAAGCATTGCTTTCGACGTAATAACAATATACCCATGATTCGTCACCAGTTATAAACTTTTGACCATATCCGGGTCATTGTTCAAAATTAAGCAGTTTTTGTTACTACACGTTTCATGCCCAAAACAGGAAAAAATTGCATGGCACGAGCCATAAGAGGTGGCGACATTTTCAGCCACTTCTCTATTGGTGATTCGACGATTTTTCAATACCATTTGTTTCACCTCTTCAACACTCTCAACAGTTATCGACGTTCTGGGGCATCCAGCATAGACTCTTCTCGGTCATCTTTGAACAGCTTGTACCACTTATAAACATTTTCTTTGCTCAAAGTAGATTCACTATATGCCGTTGTCAAGTGTTTTTTTACACTGTATTCCATTATTTACTCAAAATTTTATGCAATTTCTTTGTTCCATTTCTTTTGTGTACCAACATAACAGAAAAAATATCGAAGTTCGAATGCACGTAGTACAAAAGTCGCCTTACTTTTTGAACACACCTCAAACATGCATTCCTATTTGTTTATTAAGTGTTCTAACTTTTCGCATCCACCATCCGGCAAGAAATCATAGTGGAAAATAAATACATCACCAACTACAGACAACTTTAACACTGCCAATAAAATAACACAATGGAAAGAAAAGTTTGCACACCACGCATTTAAATTTGAATTGAACAACGAAACAAACAAACGAAAAATCAATAATTGTTGATCAACTCAATAATTATTTCTTCAATATTGTTGGATATTTTTTTCATATGGCGAAGAAAATTATTTCTGTCCACTTGGAGAAATATAATAATGATTCGGTTGCTACTACGCATCCGCCTTTGGCAAATTACAATTTCGGGCGTATACACTCGCCCTCTTAGCCATTACATCGATTAACCTCAAAAAACGAACCAAATGCCAAAATAAGTACGTAAGTTCTGTTGTCAATGAAATTTTGTGGTTTCAGGTACCTATCTAGTTTCATTATGAGTAGGGAACCCAGCCTAGCTGTCAACGTCAAAAGTTATCTACGCGACAAATTGCCACGATATGACATCGACCTGTCTTACATGTTTGACATGACGCAAAACGACTGCAACGCAACCGCAGTAGAAAATTTGCCTCCGTCGGTGCTCGTAAACAGGCCCGTCCAGACAATGCGCAGACATCCAATGAAACACCGCCACGTGGAATAAAACTATTGGTGGTTGCGAAGTAATTTATTGTCAAAGTAACAAACTTTTAAATTTCCGCATTATTTAAATAAATAATTAAAATGGGCCGCGTCACTTGGTTAACCTACAAATCGGACTCCTTTGTACCATCTCGAGGTCCACTTTGGGGCCAACCAAGTCCCTGATGTTGTTGAACCCGTATTTGATCATGGTGGGGCGCTCTAAAGACAAGCCCCACGCGATTACAGTGACGTCTTTGGGCAAACCCATGGGTGACAGCATTTCCGGACGGAATATTCCTGAGTTACCAATCTCGATCCACTTTTTTAAACCCGGATGGAAACAAAATATCTCCATGCTGGGCTCAGTGTAAGGATTGTAAGCCGGCTTAAACTCCAACTCCGTAATCCCTGTAAGTTATGTAACAGTTGCTGTTTCTGTAACCCAAAAAAAAAAATAACTAACCTAATTTCTTAAAGAACTCTGAGAAAACCCCAATCAAATCTCCCAAAGACAAATGGTAGTCTGCTATTACGCCCTCTACCTGATGGAACTCGGCGAGATGGGTGGCATCTAAAGTCTCATTTCTGAACACTCTATCAATACTAAACAGCTTGATGGGCTTAAACTCTTTTTGCTGTCCCAACTGATACAACATTCTCGAACTCACCGCTGTCGTGTGGGTGCGCAGCAGGTTTTTCTGAGCTTCTTCCAACTTCCAATCGTATCCATAACCTTGGGAGCCATACCCACCTTTGCTGTGTACTGTTTTGACCTTTTCCACATAACTTTCGGGAAATTTATAGCTAAATTGCGGGTCGGATATGAAAAAGGTGTCGTGGGCGTCCCTAGCGGGATGCTGCTGGGGTTGAAACAGCGCGTCAAAGTTCCAAAAGGAGCTTTCGATATAATTGTTTGTCGGCATTTCAGAAAAACCCATTTCTAAGAATATCTGCCTGAATTCGGCCCTAACTTTTAACAAAGGATGCAAAAATCCAGAGCTTGGCGGCACTCCTAAGGCATCGAAATTGTACTCTTTGAATTTCGACGTCTTCCAGGTGCCATTGGCCAGCATTTCACTGGTAAGGTCTGTCTCGAGCTTGTTTAATGTCAAACTAAAGTCGGGGCCTTTTTTAAGTACAAAACTTTTGATTAATGACTCCTGTATGAGCTTTCGTTTTTTATATTCAGCTTTATCTTTCTCAGTGAGCTCAGAGCTCTTGCCTGCGTCAACCAACTTCAAATGTTCCTGTACGGAATCCTTGATTTCAGGCACTTTCCTTTTAACCAATGGCGGGTTGACAATTTTATCTACCAAAACCCATCCGTTAGACATAGCTTTGCTGAAACCTACTTTTGCATTGGGTAATTTCATCAAATCGGCCTGGGAAATACCTTCTTTGGGCACTACATTGAATATATTGGCTTCATGACTACCTAAATTCATATTTACTCAATATAAAATTGATTTATTTGTAGTAGTGGAAAAACGGTACCTTGGTTTGCTACCAGTTTGCCTTCTTCCGTGAGTTCGATATTTTTCTGGCTCACCGGCTCCGCTATCACCAAATCTCCGTTGGCTTGTATACTCTTCAAAAAGCCGATTATTTTTTGATGGTCCTCCTGGAATTTTTCTGCCAACTTTAGTGTATTCACCTCTTCGTTTTCCGATAAATATTTTAATATTTTTTCCGCCATTATCGCAGTTGGTTAGAAAATTTGGCAGGAATACCAAATTGAGGTTAAAAAGGTAAGGGAGGTTAGGTTTCATGAAAAGCACAGAATGGAGACAAAATTTTTTAAAACAAATTTATTTAGCTAAGTAGTTGATAAAAAAATTGTCAAAAAAATTAACTCTAATAACCAGGTAGATAAAATCAAATTGGCTTAATTTGGTTGTAGAAAATGTTGGCTATAATAAACCGAGTTTGCCTGTTATTTTATCAACTTTCTCTTCATGACCGAACAAACTCAAAACTGTTACTGATCCAGGGGCAATTTGTGTGTGACCCGCATCTTTCACTAAGTAGGCAGGAATCTTCTCCTCAGCGGCTTTTTCTAGAAGCTCAATTAAATGAGATTCATCGTTTCCTTTTAGAACAATCTTTTTTTCTCTAAAAATAACAAAGCAATAACTGAAAATTGCTCTTGGCTTGAATAGTACATACCCCACTTCTTCCCAGCAATTCAAATTGTCTTCCAAACCCTGCTCGAGCAATTGCCTATACAAGCCCAAGCAAGCATGTCCTACCTAAAAGCAACTGCACAGTATTTGGCTTTAATTTAATATAAAAAATTGACTGGCATACTTGGGCCGCAATTTTTCCCACGCCCATTTTCAGAGACATGTTCACCACAAATACCATTTTGCTATAATTAATGTTTCCCTCATCACAACTTTCCCCAACTTCAGTATCACCAGCTTGCTCAAGAGATTTTTGTTTCAATACCCCGTTTTCAGGGGTCGTATTGAATATAAAATTTATAGCGTCGTCTACCGATTGGTTCTGCGTACAAAACAGCGCCTACAAAAATTACATTTACTCAAAATAGATTGCAAAATGAGCATCGATGTACCTCTCTGGCGACGATTTCTGATATTCCCATTTCGATTATCGCGTTGAGGTATTCCTCGTTTGGCGCCCAGTGACTGTCCGTTTCGCTCATTGCGATATAAAAAAAATGTAGTTTTTAGTTACTAATGCTTAAATTTTATCTTGAAACTCCTTCCAATGATTTATCATAACCTCAAACTCAAATCGGGAATCAAAGTCAACAAATTGTCATGAAATCTTGAGGTGCTGATGTATGAACGACGGGCGAAATGTTATCGAATTATAGAATTGTTAAAAGTGGTATTTTCAATATCTTTCGTTTTCGAGGATTGTTAACAACGATAAATTTAATAATAATTCTTGATGTGGGGAATGTTCAATTACTGCATGTTGCCAGATTTTGCTTGTTTATTTGCAATTCACCGTTGATTGATTAAAGGAACACGCGAAATGCCTTTTATATTAGTCATCAAACGTTTAGTGAGCAGGAAATTATCATAGCATCGTGTTTCCATCAGAAAACAGATTACAAGTAACGCGAAATGGGAGTAGTCGCGGCAACGTGGCGGTAAAACAATCCGCGCCTATTTTCACGTCGTATGCTGTCAAATCGCCTGCGGACAGTGTACTTTAGGGCGTGTAGTGGTAGGGCTCCGGTAATTCTGTACGGTATCCATCGCGATTCACGTATTTTTGTTGCCGGTTTTCGACAAATTCACGTTATAATTTCGTAGCCCACAGAACAGCCGCGGCCAACTTGTTAACCGCATAGACGTGTGCTCGCCCGTTATAGATTTCTTGTGCCGTCGTACTCGTACTCCTTGGTTTTATGCAACCGCCGGTACCACAGGGTTGTGCCGGGGTGCCTAACCGCGACAGATTTCGAAAAAAATTCAAAAGGCACGGAAAATTACGGTGAAAATGCAGGTGTCGGGCCCCGTACGAAGATGGTTCATTTGTTTACAGATGAGCCGGTCGGCGCAGGTCTAACGCGTTAACGGGAGGGTAGTTTTTGGCAATATTTCGGTGCGTTTTATCTCTTTCGAAAAAATAAAAAAAAAAATGGCCGAGGAAGAGGTGCTCTTCGACGACGTCTACGATTTGTGCGAAGAAATTGGAAGGTTAGTTGCGCGTTAACAAATATCCACTTTGAATATATACAGTAGAAAATTTAAACTTTTGTAACGTATTTTATGGCGGCAAATTGAAAATAGGCCTGTTTGTTATCTCTTGATATTATTTAATCGATAATGTTTCCATGCTTTTTAGTTATGCATTTTTTATATACCAACAGGGGACCGTTTAGCATCGTGCGAAGGTGCATACACAGGCAAACGGGGCAACAGTTCGCTGCAAAAATCGTCGACGTCGCCAAATTTACTTCCAGCCCCGGATTAAGCACAAATGGTACGTCAGAACGCATTAAACGTTTTTGGGAGGCTATCGCCAGTATCAGTTCCCAAAAACAGCAAGAAAAAAATTTGGCGTCCTCCTTTTCAAAATTCTGTCGTCAGTGGGCATGTTGATGTTGCAGATTTGAAGCGGGAAGCGACGATATGTCACATGTTGAAGCATCCCCACATCGTGGAATTGCTAGAGACTTACTCGTCAGAGGGAATGTTGTATATGGTGTTCGAATAGTGAGTATACTACCTTCCTTGGGACGTGTCGCGATAGACATTTGAATTTCTGTAATTTTATTATTAACCTTGCCCCGGTTCTATTTTAAGGTTTTACCGTTTTCGCTTTGTCGTTTCCAATATTTTTTTTATATCGTAAACAGGCGCTTTTAACTCGCCTCTACCGTTCGGATTTAGTTTTTCGAATTAATTAAACTCAAACTTCAAAGGCTTGGCGTTTGCGTTTGTTTGGACGATTTGACGGTTACTTCCAGGGAAGTAAACAAACGTTTCAACACCCACTTTTTACACTTCGGTTCGTTACGACCAGAAATATAATGGTGCTATTTTTTTATTGCACAGCATGGACGGTTCCGATTTATGTTTCGAAGTGGTCCAAAGAGCTACCCAGGGGTTCGCATACAGCGAGGCAGTAGCAAGGTGGGTAAAAGTCCATTCTGAACCAAGCGGTCATACAATTTAACTATTTCGATGTCGATAAATATTACCCCGCAGTCATTACATGCGTCAAATTCTGGAGGCGCTCCGCTATTGTCACGAAAACGACATCATCCATCGCGATATCAAACCGGAGAGCATCTTGCTAGCGACCAAAGACAACTCTGCGCCGGTGAAGCTGGGCGGCTTTAGCGTAGCTATCCAGTTGCCCGATAAACACCCGAATAACGTTCCTGGTAAGTGCGTTGCGTTTTAGTCAGTTTCCACATTTTTTTCCTTCCCCTCGGGTCGCCTACTTATTCCCACCCCGAGCGAACGTAAAATACACCGTCCAACTACTTTTAACATAAATAACAATTTAGCGAACTTTATGCTGCAACAAATATATCTGTGTATATCTCGTGTATAGAGAACGGAGTGTGCGAGTTCAGGACGAATTTGAGTCCCATGGGACGGATGTATCTTAAGTCGGACAACGCCGGTAAGACCAAAAATTGTTCCTTCAGAGTCAGCCGGGTGCTTTTCTCGATGCCTTGCCTCTTCTATGTGCAGGGCAGTTCGCTTTCTGATCAGCCCTGTATATTGATCCCGTTGCTGTTGGTGTCGAAATGCAGTCGAAATGGTTCTCTCAACCTTAACCGATCATGATGTTAGATATCTTTTTTTTTGACGTCGCTCGGAAATAAATATTAATCATTTGAACTTTCTTATAATCAAATGATCAACTTTTTATAATTGATCTATTTTATAAGCGATAAAGTTGTTTCTTCCTTTTTATTTGTGAGTTTTAATAGTTCCTGATTTGTTCATTTTTATTTATTCCCAAGGTAATTTGATAAGTTAATATTTCTTGAATTTTTAAATTTTTGTTTATTAAATCTGATAATAAAATGATCAACATTTATATCACTTTTTATAATTGATGAATTTTTGGAATTCACCAATTTTTATGATTGATCAAACTTATATAGTTTTTTATTTGTGATTTTGTGTTATTATAATCCGTTTTTTTATGACTTTTATTTATGCCCAAACAGTGATGGGTTAATGTTTCTGATTTTTGATTATTAAATGTTAATTCTTTGAGTTTTTTTTTATTGCCAATATATGTTATAACGAAATGATCCATATTTATAATTGATGAAATTTTTCCATTCTTTTTATTTCTTGTTTTTAATTTGTTATTTTGTGTTGATATATTTTGATTTATTTAGTAATTTTTATTTATAAGCAAGCAGAAAGTATGGATTGATCTTATTTTTTTGATATTTAAATATTCTTATTATTTCATTATTATTATTTCTTTTACTAGACCGTTTTATATTCTTATAGTAAACTATTTTTCAATTTTCAATAAAAATTCATCATTTGGACTCTCTTATAATCAAATGATCGATTTTTTATAATCGACCTGTTTTATAAATGATAAACTGATCCTTTTAATTTTTTTTTTATTATATTCTGGTAAGGTAATTTAATAAGTTAATATTTTTTGATTTTTTTTGAATTTTTTATTATTAAATCTTGATCCATTTTAGACATTTTAGTTTTTCTTTACATCGCTCATCATATAATTCATTTTTTCAGTTTTTGTCTTCAAAACTGACTGACTGATAATAAAATGATCAATATTTATAATTTATATAATATAATATTTATAATTGATCCGTTTTTATAATTGATTAATTTTTGGAATTCACCACTTTTGTAATTGATCAAACTTATACAGTTTTTTTTATAGGTTTTTGACAGGTTTTGTGTTAATATATTCCGATTTATTTTATGACCTTCATTTATGCCCAACACAAGAGATTTGTTAATGATTCTGATTTTTGATTATTGCTATCTATAATGAATTAAATTTTTACATTTTTTTTATTTGTGGTGTTTAATTGGTTATTTTGTGTTGATATATTTTGATTGACTTGTTAATTCTTCTTAACAAGCTTTCCTTTACGGGACCGTTTAATATTCTTATAATAAAATATTTATGAATTTCATGCATTTTGTTAATTGATCAAATTCTTATAACTGATAACTGCAGTCGCGTCGCTGACAGCAACCGGATCCATTTTTTTTTTAGTGAAAACATCCGCACAGTACCGGACTCACACGGACGCACCGTCTCATCTCTCCCTCGCCGTTACTTTTTCGTTGCGATTGCGTTTTGTTTTTTTTTTCTCAATATAGTGGAGCGTCGTAAGGTTTATACCTCGGAATCCAGGGCCAGTCAATAAATCTTTTTATAAACTTTGGCAATGTCTTTTTAATAGCATATAGAAAAATGTTAAAAAAATATTTTGTGCGATCTTAATTTTTTAATACTTATTAGTGTAAAATTAGATTTTAAAAAGAAAAACTATTACAAACTTCATCTTGGGTCTCAAGGGACTGCAGGTATAACGATGAAGGATGGGGAGGGGAATAGAGGGGGCAACAGAAGCTGTTGGGTGTTGTTAACGCGGGCCCTAACAGAATCGTACACATAGTAAAGAGTTTTACGAACTTTGAAAATAGTGGCATAAATAGTAAGTACTTGTTTATTATTTATATTACATGGTTTTTAAAACAACTGTGAATATTCAATAGTATATTTTATAATAGATCGATCTTAATAGTTAGAATGTAATGGTAAAATTTAATATATATTTGGAATCTGCATGAAATTTCCTATAAGATAGTGCTTACACAAACAGTTGATTTTTTTTTATTTTTTTATTTATGCAGAAATAATAATTGAATTAATCGGAAAAATAGTGAAAATTCCGATTTTTTCACATAAAAAAAAAGAAATTTCCAATCCTTACATCTGAAATTTTAAAAAATTGTGATATAAAGGTTAGTTATTGATATTAGTAATATTTGTTGTTACAGCCTCGTATCAAAATGGGTGAACCATCGAATAGTGATAATATAAATAATGATGTCTACGTGCATTCAGTATGAAGACAAAAATATATCAATAAACATGCTCTCCACCTAAAAAAAAACTGCCAACGGCTACTTGTATTGATTTTGATTGGAAAAATAAGTGCTTTTTATGTGAAAAAGAAGCGGATGAAATGAAGGAAAGAAGAAAGTCCAAATCGGTAAGACAGCAAATCAGCTACGTAACTACTTCTGAGTTCAGGCAAACTATTTTAAATTTGATAAGCGAAGAGAAAAGCGAATATTGTCGCAATATCCATAAAAGAATTGTAGGTGTGTTAGATCTAGTAGCTCAGGACGCTAAGTATCACGCGGATTGTTATATGCGTTTGAAAAGTACCGTAAAACAGACCCAGAGGGATAAAAAAAATCATCCACTCGCAATACAAGTAGCAGATTTTTAAATATATTGAAGAAAATGATGACTGCCAGTTTTCACTGGCAGAATTAAAAAGTATTGTGACAATTAATGAACCATTATGAGGATAATATTGTATTCTCCAGTAAATTTGGATCTAATACAATCATATGTTATAAAAAAAAAACAATAAGAAATATTGTCCGATAACTGGTACAGTCAGAGGTCAAAAGATGATGAAGAAGAAGAATATCGTATTTTGAAGGCTGGTGCAGCGACCAGCCCCAGAATCTTTACTAAAAATTATTTTTTGCGCATGCAAAACAGGATGTGGGGAGCATCTTGTGGGTGCAGGAACAGTGGATTAAACTGCACTGCAGCTTGCTTAGAATCTTTTACCTACAATCTACATCAACGAAATCGACGACGACGACGACGACAATAATAAACAACAATCGATATAGTCAAGGTTAAATTTTCTTTAGTAAATCATTTTTTTTGCGAAAAATAACTGCAAACATAATTTATTACATATAAAATTAAGATCTTTACTGTAAACATTTTTCCCCCTTGCGCCTTTCATTTTTCAGTAAATTGTTTATAAAAATTGTTGTAATCGAGATCGGCCAATTTTTTTTTTTTTAAATTTTTATTTGAGGTTTTAATAATGCAGTCAGACACTTGTTATACAGATTCATTGACTGGCCCTGGGTTCCAAGATTTTACCGTTTTTATGCCTTACGGCGCTCCACTGATATGCGTCCAGCGGTAAAGGTCTGCCGTTTACGTTACGGTCGTACTTAACCTCCGGACGTACGATCCTCAAATCATCAGTTCCGAGGTGGCAGTTCATATCCCTCGGAATTGTCACCGCCATTTTTCGTGACCCGTAAACCCAAAAGCACCCGTTCCTTTCCCATTTGTTTCCAGGCCGGGTGGGTAGCCCGTTCTTTATGGCCCCGGAAGTGGTCGAACGAAGACAGTACGGCAAACCCGTGGACATCTGGGCCGCGGGCGTTCTACTCCACGTTTTGCTTTCCGGAACGCTTCCGTTCCACGGCAGCGGGAGGAGACTGCTCGAAGCCGTTTGCCGTGGGAAATTGGCAGTAAGAAACGGCACGACCCGGATGGCGGGTAGAAGTATTTAAGCGCGAATTTTTCCAGTTAAACACCGCGCCGCAATGGGAACTAATAAGCGACAGCGCGAAAGATTTGGTGCAGCAGATGCTGACCGTCGACCCCAAGCAACGGATAACGATACAAGAAGTGCTGAACCACAGGTGGTTGAGGGTAAGTCGATCGCCCAGGACCGTTGCGGATGTCTTTTTTGTGGTGTCCTAGGATCGCGACAAGTGCCTCAGGATCCATTTGAACGACACCATAGAGGAATTGAAAAAATATAACGCTAGGAGAAAATTGAAAGCTTGCATACAGAACGCGGTGAACTCGAGCAAATGGTACAACTACGACGAAGCTACCGACGAATACGTTACGGATTTTGGCGATAACGAAGTGACTTCAATGGGTACGTTGGAGAGGGCATTGGGATTGGGGTCTATTTAATTGAGTGCGATCAATTAAAATATTACGCAATCAATCAAAATGCCGTGTAGTTATTGTTGATCGTCTTTTGTGCATTTGGTACATCGCCAGCAATAAAATTGTTTACATTTGTCACTAGATTGATTGATTGTTTTTTTTATAACTAGGAAATTATTTTTAGATCTTTGATGAATTTTCAAACTAAAAGTTTGGACTTTCATTTTGCCTAGTTTCGATTGTGTTTGTTCGGAAATTGATTGATGTAGTGTTCCGTTGATTACAGGAAATTATTTTTATATATTGCTTTTTTTTTTTTAATTCGGTTGTGGTTAATTGTTGCTCGGGACGCTACTGCCGAGTTCGTTGATTGACGATTGACCGATTAGATTCAATTACGTTTGTGTTTTAATATTAGCCTCTCTTTTACAGTTGATGTATTATTTATAGGGGGGCGAAAGAAAACATTAATAAATAAAATAATTAAAAGCTTTTCCTTATTTTCGTTTTTCAAGTCGTGTGTGTTCGGAAAATAATTGATCAAACAAACAGTTGATATTAGAAAATGGTAATTTTTCAAAGAAACTTCCAAGGGCGACTGTAATAATGATTTCTATAGACTCTCGCATTTTTCGTCGGTAGAAGAATTGATTACATGCAAAAAATTTAGTTTTATCGAATGAAATTTTATATCGGGTTCCGTGATTGGTGAAATGGTAAATCTGGTTTTGATGTTATATTTCTTAAGAACTTTTGATATATGGTCAGTGATGTTTTGAATGTAAGGAAAGACAACAGTGGCAAGTGTGAGATTGACTTAATACCTTTAATGTGGAAATTATTAGAGAGAAGAGCAGAGGTAAGATGTTTCAATTCTGAGTTCAGTGACTCGGGCTGAGATAGTTTTACTACTCTGTAAACAAGAGAGTTGATAACCGATGATTTTTGGGCTGGATGTGGTAATGCGTTAAGGTGTGTAGGTTTTCTGTAAACAAGTTGACCCAATGTTAGGTCTGATTTTCTATTGATAATATCTAAGAGTGGGAGATTATTATTAGTTTCTAATTCAATGGTAAAATATATGCTAGGAGTTTAAATGTCTATGAAAATCTACTGGGGATTCTTGACCATAAAAGAGCCTTATGATTAAAACAAATAAACTCATCGGCAGTTGCCGAATACAATCATGGAACGGGACATACAATTATATTCTATAAAACCAGAATCAATCTATAGAAATCTATAAGCAACAACCAACCAACGCAGAAATTTTGTAAATATTAATAGAAAATGGTGTTTCTATATTGAATGCCCGTTTTCAAATTCTTTTTAGTTCCGCTTTTTTTTATTAATTGATCGACGACCAACAAAGAATAGCGTTTCTCTTCATTTTTCAACGCCGATCCTTGTTTATTTAGCTGTGGCAACGATAACTGACGCTTTACACGACATATACTGCCTTCAAGAGTCGCAACCCCAGGAGAGGGCGCATCTGCTCGCCTTGCTGGAGGACACGCACCTGCACGCCGTCTTAGAGGTGCGTATTGTTCGCCGACATCGACGACGGTGTCGCTGTCGGATCGAAACTAACGTCCGCCATCTGTCGTGCAGATCTTCGACTTGGTGGTGACGCGGGTGCCGACGTCCGTCAAGGCGCCGGTCGGAGACGCGGTGCAATGCGCCCTCCACGCGGTCGATATCTTGCGCGAGCACGAGCATCGTCGCGACATCGACCGCAAGGACATCTACGAGCTGGCGGACCTGCTGAGCCGGCCACATTTTAAGGTAGGAAACTTTGCTTTATCAACCGTTTTCCCATTTAATGTTGATTATTTTTGACGCATTACTTCAATGAAGTTTGGTGAATTTGAATGTTTCTTGCTTGAAGGTTCCTGGTGTGTGGTTAACAATACCTTTTTCATTTAGTGTTGATGGTTATCACCACCAAACTTAATTATTTTGTTGGAACGCCTAAATTGTAAGGTTGAGTTAATTGAAGTGGTTTTAATTGAATTTTAACTCAACCATAATAAATATTGATCAAAACCGCATTTTAAAGTAGGAAACTTTGCTGCCGATTCTGTACTAAAAGCTTGGAAAGCGTTTTATGCGCCAGTAAATGGTGGCTAGATTGATTTGTCAGCTGTTTAAATGGCGATAGCGCGTGTCTATCAACCGTTTTCCCATTTAGTGTTGATTATTTTGGCCGCATTACTTCAATGAAGTTTGGTGAATTTGCATGTTTCTTGCTTGAAGGTTCCTGGTGTGTGGTTAACAGCACCTTTTTCATTTAGTGTTGATGGTTATCACCACCAAACTTAATTATTTTGTTGGAACGCCTAAATTATAATGTTGAGTTAATTGAAGTGGTTTTAATTGAATTTTAACTCAACTATAATAAATATTGATCAAAACCGCATTTTAAAGTAGAAAACTTTGCTGCCGATTCTGTACTAAAAGCTTGGAAAGCGTTTTATGCGCCAGTAAATGGTGGCTAGATTGATTTGTCAGCTGTTTAAATGGCGATAGCGCGTGTTTATCAACAGTTTTCCCATTTAGTGGTGATTACTTCAATGAAGTTTGGTGAATTTTGATGTTTCATGCTTGAAGGTTCATAGTTCTCGGTGTGGAACGTGGATAAAGTAATCCCTCAGAAATAATGACGCAAAACGGAAATACGCCATTAATCTTGAAAATCGCTAAAAAATCATAATTGTAAAATGCTAGGTAGATAGGACAGTGTGTGACTTCTTCTTAAGGTGCCTATTCGTTTCGAATGCTGGCTCTTAACATGGCTATTATAATCTTGTCGACTGCTGCCTTGAAAAGTCCTGTGTCTGAAAGAGAGAACCGTTTTCTCAGATTGTGAAGCCATGAAATTCTCCTCCGTCTTGGGTCTCTTTTTCCAAGTACCTTAACCTGCAGAATAAGCTGCAACAGACCGTATCGCTGTTCGTTGCGCATAATGTGGCCAAAGTACTCCAGGTTCCGCTTCTTTACGTTGTTTATGATTTCGCATTCCTTGTCCATTCTGCGAAGAACCTCGTCGTTGGTGGTGGTGGTGGTTCCATCAACTCTGGAAATTTTCAAGATACGTCTAGAACACCATACCTCAAAAGCCTCTAATTTCTTCTTTGACGCCTCTGCCAATGTCCAGGAGTCAACTCCGTAAAGGAAAACCGTAAACACATACCATAGGAGCAGACGGATTTTAGTTTTTAGTGGTAGAGAATGACTTTTAAAAATGTTCATTTTGGTAAATGCTGATCTGGCCTTTTCTATTCTCTGTCTGATTTGCAACTGAATGATTCCATCCGTCGTTAACATTCGTTCCAAGGTAAAGGTAGCTTGAGACGCGAATTGTTGGTTGTTGATAAATCAATAGGTGTCCCGGTGGTATATTATTCTTGCTGATAACCATATATTTCGTTTTTTTTATGTTAAAGTCAAGGCCGTACTCTTTGCTGGAGTCTGCCATACGTGTAATTAGCGCCTACAGTATCCCCTCATCCACGTCATCCAAAGATCTGAATAGACGTTAAAAAGTAAAGGGAATAGTACACATCCCTGTCGAACACTTCTCTCTACCTTTATTTCCTCCGTCAACTGATCTTCGATTCTGACAGCTGCTGCTGATGCTGCTTTTATTTGTTCCTCGTCCATTAGTTTCAGATAAAATTGTCGGGACACCCCGTTTTACCACCCTTTGTACATTTAATGGCCGTCTTTACTTCTTCGTACATGATGGGGGCCCTATTCTGTATTCTGCTTTGAGTGGAACCTTATTTCTGTCATCATTAAAAGTATTCTCTGCGTAATGTTTCCAATGGGACTTTAGTTGCTCTCTGTCCATTATTGGATGACCTCGATTGTTAGTCATGCAGCTGGGTGTTTTAGGTTTATACATACCAGCAGTTTCCTTGACTTTTTTATGGAGAGTAAATGAGTCATGCTTATTCTCTAGGGCTTCATTCTAACGGCACCGTTCCTCTAGCGATCTACTTTTAGCTTTTCTAATCCCTATCTTTACCTTTCCTTCTACTTTCCATCATGTATAGGATGCTGTCAGTCATCCATGTTTTTTTCTTTACCTTTTTTGGTTGCAGAAATCCATCAATCAACTACCTCCTGATTGATTTTGATTTCTTCCAGCTTCTTGATGTTGCCTTCTAGATTGGTCTCCATTTCCGTATAATTAATTCTACTCTTAGCAGTCTCTGACCATCTAAGGTCTGCCCATTCTTTTATTTGCCTCTGCCATGTTAGATGGTGGTTTACCGTAGCCTTTCATGCGCAGTATCCCAGCCGCCTCGGAGTTTCTGGAGTTGAATCTTTAGTAAAGTCCCTCTTCAATAGTCTCAGTCCACTAATGACACAGCTGCTGCCCTACGTCATGCCAGTTTTGGTCCGCCCCGGTACCCAGCATATCTGCTGAGCGTTCCCCTATCCGCCACCTGGGGAAGCGCCCAATGGGGGACTAGGAACCCCACAAGGATTACATGACGTACTGCCATTGTTTTACCACGTCGAATCTTTTCTCCAAGTTTACGAACTCAATTTCCGAACATCCTGTATATGAATATAGAGCGATACGTGAAAGTCCACACCCGACGCCGGCGGCAGCACGACGTCGATCTTATTAAAAATGTTTCGAGCATCTGGTAACTCGCAACGTTTCGGCAAACTGTCCGGGCCCGCCTACAAAGAGCGTTAACACTAATAGGGGTATATTGCCCCGTATCCCGGCGACCGAGTCCCAAACGTCTAGTTTCGAAAGTTGTGGGCCGGGGGGGTGGGGTTAGTTGTTGGTGGGGGGCGGTCATAGATATAGTGCATACAAAAACTTGGACGGAGGATTCGGTACGCAATTAAACCAGCGATCTCTCTCAGTCGTAAAAACAAATACACCGTGTATACCCTAATTGCAACTGGCGGGGGCGGTATTTATTTTTAGAGGCGGTGATTACGGGCCGGCGGGGCGAGAAGGGTGTAGAAAAACTGCATTAATTAAGTCGGAACTTTTTAAAAAAATGTATGGCGGTCGGTTTCGCGAGACGGCCCACGGTTTTCGGCCTTCGAATTCGGGTCAAGTGGTCGCGCGAAAAAATGCGCCGCCATTTTCCGCCATATCGCGAGAAATTTCACGGCGTGTCGAATTTTATCTTTTAATTAACGGCGACTGCCCGAACGGACCGGGGAAGATTCCCGGACGAGAGAGTAATTAATTTAGAAAACTTTTCACTCATTAATTAATTCGTCAAATGTTTGCAAGCACAGTTTTAAGTGGGTTAAAAAATAAAATGTTTTAATGACCGCGATATTTCGTTATATTTTATAAAATAAACGCTACAAACTGTCCGATGTATGAGAAAAGGGTTCAGTGAGGGTCGGTTCCTGGGCGAAAAACATTGTTGATCTCTGCTAAACGCCGTTGATTCGTTTTTGTTTTTTGGAAATTTTGTAATTTTATTCTTTACAATTCGGTTACGTGTTAACTTATTGAAAAGGTGGAAATTCTTCCCGATCTTTTGTTGATATAGGAACACCTTGAATGTTTTAATACTTTTCTTATGCTTGTTATGAGCTTTTTTCTACTCCCGTCTGTAAAATACACACCGATCTAGCTTGCGGGAAGCGTCACTTTGCCACGTCAGTTTCGTTTCTCACGAATGCGAACCACTTCGGACATTTCCGGGATTTTGCCGCACGGACTTGGGAGCAATCGGATGTTTTCGGAGATATTTCCCACGCTTTGAATTTTAACGTTTGTCAAATCTGACGGTCATGTCGGTGAATGTATTTGTGCTGTTTTGCGATAATGTACCCCAAACTAAGGGTCGTAGAAAAAGTGCAGTATGCAACGCTCCGCTCGTGTCAAATAAACTCGTGAGTCAGATGCCGTTTACCGCACTTGTTGCATAATATACTATTTCAAAATATGTAATTGATAAGATCTATTTCAAATAACGGAGCATATATTTTTATTTATTTTTTTTATCAATAGGCCAGGGAAAAAAATGTCCATTTTCCTAATATACTAGTTAGTCATGACATTTCGTAATTATGATTTTAGTTTCTGTCTGCCCTTTCTTCTTCTATGCAAGTGTAATTTTTGTAATAAGTGATCTAATTTATTTTATTTGTTTTATTTAATTATTTAAGATGTATTTCAAATAACGGAGCATATATTTTTAATTTTTTTTTTTTTATCAATAGGCCAGGGAAAAAAAAAGTCCGTTTTCCTAATATACTTTAGTTAGTCATGACATTTCGTAATTATGATTTTAGTTTCTGTCTGCCCTTTCTTCTTCTATGCAAGTGTAATTTTTGTAATAAGTGATCTAATTTATTTTATTTGTTTTATTTAATTATTTAAGATGTATTTCAAATAACGGAGCATATATTTTTAATTTTTTTTTTATCAATAGGCCAGGGAAAAAAAAAGTCCGTTTTCCTAATATACTTTAGTTAGTCATGACATTTCGTAATTATGATTTTAGTTTCTGTCTGCCCTTTCTTCTTCTATGCAAGTGTAATTTTTGTAATAAGTGATCTAATTTATTTTATTTGTTTTATTTAATTATTTAAGATGTATTTCAAATAACGGAGCATATATTTTTAATTTTTATTTTTTTTATCAATAGGCCAGGGAAAAAAAAAGTCCGTTTTCCTAATATACTTTAGTTAGTCATGACATTTCGTAATTGTTATTTTAGTTTCTGCCTACCCTTTCTTCTTCTATGCAAGTGTAATTTTTGTAATAAGTGATCTAATTTATTTTATTT